CCTGTTCTTGTCCATACTGTCCTCTCTGTGTACTCTGTTCTCAGTTTGCGATACTTTCCCTGAATCTACCATATTATGTAAGAAAGCCAGAGACAGCTCGGTACACACAGCAAGAAGCATCATGGGAAGTCTAGCTCATCGGCCTCACTAATCTAAAAGCCAGGGTGCAAAGTACGAGAAGCGCTTTAATGGTCCCAATACAGCGCCAGCCGTACATGGTGGGGACTGTGGGCAGTGATGTGCAGAATCCCCCTCTATCCCCTTTCACCAACAATACAAGCGGGCTGTTGCTATGGGTTTCCGCACTTCTCTTTACAAGATAATGAAGGCTTTGTGCACACGCTGGAAGAACAGATGTTAGATTGCTCAGAGATGTGAATGTATACCACTCCTTAATAACAGCACCCCAGGGGGACGGAGAAATGATTGTTATGAGGAGTGTGGCTTCCGAAAAAAACACCATTATTCTCCTAAAAAGAACAACCCCACATTGTGTGCGCTGCATTCTGTGACATCCTGCCTCATTTATGGCCGGACTGGGAGCTTGCAGCTTGTTATTACGTCACACAGACAGCAGTTTCATATCCCAACAAGATCAGGAAATTGGACAGAATATGTTAAGGCGAGATAAATACATTTTCTTCATTACACAGATTAAATGTTAGTTTTCGATAGAAAGAAAGTAGATCGATAGATAGATAGATAGATGATAGATAGATAGATAGATAGATGATAGATAGATAGATAGATTATAGATAGATAGATAGATAGATAGATAGATAGATAGATAGATAGATAGATAGATGATAGATAGATGATAGATAGATAGATGATAGATAGATAGATAGATAGATAGATAGATAGATAGATAGATAGATAGATAGATAGATGATAGATAGATAGATAGATGATAGATAGATATATAGATAGATAGATGATAGATAGATAGATGATAGATAGATAGATAGATAGATAGATAGATAGATAGATAGATAGATGATAGATAGATAGATAGATAGATAGATAGATGATAGATAGATAGATAGATAGATGATAGATAGATAGATAGATAGATAGATAGATAGATAGATAATAGATAGATGATAGATAGATGATAGATAGATAACCTATGGTAGAATCCGGAAGTTCTCTTTGTAATAGGAGGGGCACTAGATGTCTGCCCCCTTGCAGGGGAATGAGCACAGGGTTGCATTAGAACCACTTACCTATTCCCACACAGGTGGGGGTTTGGGAGGCTTCTTCAGCACATCAAGATGCTTGCACTTTATACCTGCAGCAGTTTTGGTTTTTAATGAGTTTCTTTCAGCAGATAAGTCTCGAAACAAATGATCATTTCCCTTAAAGGAGAACTATGGAGTAAGTGTTTTTCCCCATAGTTCTCTTAAGGGTCACAGGAGGACACAAACTAGCGTCCCCCCATCACCCAAAGCTCAGTATACCGCGAGTTACAGCTTGCGGTATACTGAGACCGCCGCAGCCGGAACGGATCCCGACTTTACTGTGGAGTTCCACCCAGCTGCGTGACTGACAGCTGGCTCTGCCTATCTAGAGGCAGAGCCAGCTGTTCCCGCCCCCTCCCCGTCTGTTCCGCCAGTCAGCGCTGGAGGATCGGAGTGGGGAGGGCGCGAATCCCTGCAGGGAGCTGTGACTGACAGTCACGGCTCTCTGCACGCATAGATCAAGAAGTGAGCGTACGCCGGTATGTGTTCGCTCACTTCCCGATCTATTGAGCCGACCTGTGACAGTTTCATTGTCACACGTCGGCTCCAACTATGAGGACGAGTGATTTTCACTCACCTCATAGTTCTCCTTTAAGTCTACATGTCTTTGCATGGAGACATCTTCAGTTTCTGTTGCCTTTTGGAAATAACTGTGATTGTCCATACTCCGACATGGGCAATCAAAGCTCCTCCCCCAAGAACACTGGGCTGATCTACCTTCATAAAGGTAAAAGTAACCCTAGACATACAATAAAAATGGGCAAAAGGATTCTCATATAAACCATATGGCCAAAGTGTGTGGACAAACCCTTCAAACTACTACTGACATTTCAGAGAACTGTGCACATCCAAGCTTGGGGAAAACATTTGGAGTTGGCCCTATTCTGTTCCAGCATGACTGCGCCCCTTTGCACAAAGCCAGCTCCATGTGGACATGAATTGAACAGTTTGATGTGGAATCATTTTAGACGCCTGTAGAGAGCCCAGACCTCAACCAAGCTGACTATTTCCCTATGTGTTTAATCATATGTTATCAGGGCCGGATTTACTCTCCCTGCTGCCCCAAGGCCAGGAGTAATAGCAATTGGAGGTGACAGGTTCTCTTTATTGACCCTGTCACCTCCAATACAGGAGTTCTAGCACAGCACGGTGCTGGAACTCCTGTGACAGGTGAGAGAGGAAGAGCACATCACGGCACAGCTCTCCCCTCTCACTGTCTACACGGAGCGGCAGAGATACTTATAACCCTGCCGCTCTGATCACTGCAGTCAGAGACTAGGGACTCGGCGGCGTAGGGCGGAACCAAAGGAGAGAGGTAAGTGCAGGGGGGAGGGGAGGAGGCTGCACACTGTTTACATGTGATCTCAGTGACATCGCCGATTTCACATGTAAACGAAAAATCGTCTGCCTCACTCTACATTTAGCTCGGCTTGTACAGGACTGAATGTAGAGAGGGAAACTTCCCCACAAGGACACCACCGCCGCCCCCCTGCGCCCTGCCGCCCCGAGGCCTTGTGGGGAATCCGGGCCTGTGTGTTATCAATATGTATTTCTCCTGACTTCTGTGCCTTTTGTAGCCCAGGTTAAGGGGGGCTGCTGAGCCCACAAAACATTTTGTTTTGTCCTGCTGTCATTTGCGGAACCATTTTGGACGTTAAGAACCCATTTTGTGCCCTCTTTGGCTGAAATTCATATGGACGTCTCAAATCGGTTGACCTCTGTCTTTTGAAAGGGGCCCCATTCTGTGGAGAGCCGCCGAACACAAGCCATTTGGCTTTACAAGGACTTCTCTCATTATATATTGGGGATTTGTAACCAGTGCCTCATTTTCATCTCTCCTTGGGATATCTCAACCCTACTGAATACCTTTGGGATGAATTGGAACTCCAATCACAAGCCAGTTCTGCTTGTTCATCATAAAAACCGAATCTCACATATGTTTTTTTAGCTGAATGGGCACAATTTGCAAGGGACACTCAAAATGTTGTGGAAAGCCTTCACAGAAGAGTGAAAGCTGTTATTCCCTGAAAAAAGTTGGGGGGAGGCAACCCTATGTTAAGACCTCCTGCTCTCTAGCTTCCTCATCAACTCCTCCCATGCTTGCCTCCAGGACTTCTCTAGAGTGCCCCCCATTCTTTGGAACTCCTTACCCCAACCTGTCTGTCTAACTCCCACTCTGACTGCCTTTAGGCGACCCCTTAAGACTCATCTGTTCAGGGAAGCCGATCCCACCTCAACATAACCGCTCAACCATCACGTTCTCAAACAATTCATCCCCACACAGCTAACTCCTCATGTATCACTGGCCCCTCCCTTTTAGATTGTAAGCCCTCAGGGGCAGGGCCCTCCTTACCATCTTGTCTTGAATTATATTGTGATTGTAATGTCTTCCTTATATTGTAAAGCGCTGCGCAAACTGTTGGCGCTATATAAATCCTGTATAATAATAATAATAATCATGGTTATGGAATGGGATGTCCAATAAGCATACATAGATGTGATGGTCGGGTGTCCGCAAACTTTGGACCATATAGTTATACATTTTAAAAACAAAAGGAGCGAAACTTGATAAAAAGCACGGACTCACCTGTATGTACAAACATGTGCTTCACATAGTTTTGTTTGGCGGTGAATGTTTTATTGCAGAGAGTGCACTCGTAAGGCTTTTTCTCTCCCTGCAGGCTGCCTGTGCTATGCCCTCCTTGGGATTGTTGATTTTGGATTTGAGGAGGGTACGATGCCATCCCTCCTTGGGAAACGGGCACAAACTGGGCCTGCTGACCAGGCAGGGGTTGAGGCAGGCTGAAAAGGAAAGGCTTGGGTCCAGAGCCAGCCGCCTGGGTGGTGAATATGGCCGGAAGGTAGGTATTGCCCGCCGTGCCGATGACCTGGGTGTTGCTAGTCAAAGTCAGCGGCATCCTCAGGTTGCTGGTGAGGGTTTCTGTCTGGCGTAAGTACAGCTGAGTGGTTGGCAATGCTTGCGCTATGGACTGGGTGACAGAAGTCTGAAGGACCCCTTTCTCGGTGCTATTGCTAACACTGATGACTGTGCTGTCCATTTTGATGGCGTTGCTCCTCTCCGGAGAAGAGGAGCTGGTTTCTAAGTGCTGTAGGTTCTGGTTCTCTACGCATTCGGTGGACTCTGGCTGAGAGGGATCCTGTTGACCCTCATGTACAAGGTTAGGCATATACTGCTGCTCCGCCGTGTCGGGCTCCGTGCCGATGGACGAGCTCACTCCGGAGTCAAAGCTTTCCCCCTTTGGCTCACTCTCTGTGCCTTCAGCTTGATCGGTGTCTTCAGTGCACTCTTCGGACTCATTGCGTTCGAGGCCCTGCGGCCTTTGCTGACCGTAGTAGTCGTAATCATCGTCCACCTCCTGCTTGATGTGTATGTCTCCCATCAACGTCTGAATTCGGACGGGGCGCGGCTGCTTGCGGCAGTGGGTGGTTTCTGGAGTGGTGGTGAGATACCGCTCCATCCTCTGAGAGCGCTGGTGGATCCGCGTGATCCAACTAGGCTCTTCCATGTGATGTTGTCTAGGCAGGCCCAAGGCAGTTTCATGATGGCTGACCAGGGCTCCGCTGTAAAACGAGCGTTCCCCGCTGCCATTTTGCATGGAACACGTGTATAAGGCAGAGTAGATCCTGTCCACACTGTGCTGACGATGGCTCTGCAGATAGCCAGATTCCGTGTCACTGCTTTGCCCAGAGGTGCCAGATTCCGGAGTCCCCCTGGGCGTCTCTTGGCCAGAGTCCGGAGGATAAACCCCACTCACGTTTTGTGAGACAATTCGCGTGCATTCGTCTATGACGGTTTTTATCTGCAGGATGCTGGCAGCTGTAAGGATTTGGAGGGCCTCCGACGGGGAGACGCGCAGCACTCCACTGTACATAAAGTCAATGAGCTTCTGGACTGCGTGGACCGACACCACCGACGGGATCTCGATGTCGCTGTAGCCGAGCAGCAGCTTGTCCTGGAAGAATGGGCTGCCAGCGGCCAGCACGCAGCGGTGTGCCCGCAGCATGCTCCCGTGGATTCGCACCGTCACGTCACAGAAGTGGCCACGGTTGCGCTGCTCGTTTAGCGTCTCGAGCACGGAATTGCTGAAGTTGTGAAGGTTGATGCTGTGAGTGCGCTCTGTCATCCCCTTGCAACTGAGGTCACCTGGGAGGAGACACAAAAGGGCCAACAAGGTGTCAATATCAGAAAACGGAACTGGCCAAGTATTAAAAACATTTCTATGTAAAATCTAAAAACATTTTAGCTTGTATAAGTCCCAAAGCCCGTTACACGCACCTGAGCTGCTGAAGGTAGACTTACTGCATTTAAACCATCTAAAGATGGCCACATATATGTCAATGGATAGTGGTGAGCATAAGCAACCATCACCTTTACTTTTCCTCAATTGAAATGAATCCATAAATATACATCTGCCTGTGGAGAAGTGAGAAACGTCTCTCATCCAAAAACTCATTTGGAATAACACAAATCTGCAATATTTAAAAGCACCACAAGGGGGCAGCAGAGACCCTTGTTAAGCTTGGTCCATGCTCTTGTATTTCAGGATAGGCTGTGCTAAGTGGAAATGAGGCTTTATGATGTGTAAAGCAGTAAACACATGAGGTCAAGAATACTACTTTAACACAATAAAGAGTTAGCACACACTCATCAGTTATAATTGGAGTCTGCTAGGTCGAGCCATTCCTTGGCTTCTTATATGATTGGGGCACTGGAGCCAAGATCTCCCTGACTTATTTCCTGGATCTGTAGACACCCAACATGAAGCTTTGGAAGTTGCTACCCACCTTGAAGTGTTTCTGCTCCTACAGCCATATTCTCCATAATATAAAATGTGCATTGAGAAGGAAGATTAGGGCTCCCCCAGTAATAGTGTACAGACCAGGGTATTTACCCGCACAGCTGTCACCCCCTGGAGTCCCGACTTAAAAGCAGGCATGGTACTAACTTCCTACCACAACTCATTATTGATTAGTGAGACTGGCCATCATGCTGACGGGGCAATAGGAAAATTAGGAGGGCAAGAGGGGCTGGGCCAAAGTGCGATTAGCAGAGGTGAAGTCGAAATTTGCATAGCTGAGAGGGTATCAGTGTCTGAAGAGTATGTGTCAGTCAGTGCTGGAGGCATGCAGAATCAAACCAAACAAGGAAAACGGATGGAGACAGATCTGCAGATGGCATGTCATGGCATTTACTGTGACTCTGAACTGTCTACCAATCAGAGCAGAGAGTCCAGTCTCCACCCAGTGGGTAAGGCTGGGCACATGGTATCAGCAAGGTGGTGATTGAGGCTGAACTCCATGCAGTGAGGGAAGTGAGACACCTGCAGTGGGGGAGGAAGGTGAGACATGCAATCGGAAAAGAGAGATATCTTCGTTGGTAAAGGACAGAGAGACGCCTGCAATGAATGAGACACTTGCTGTGAGGGAGGTGCGGCAGCTGCAGAGAGGGAGGTGCGGCAGCTGCAGAGAGAGAGGTGCGGCACCTGCAGAGAGGGAGGTGAGACAGAGGTTTTAGTTGCACAAACTTTTGGCCAAAAATATGTAGAAGCCACACTGCCGCGCCAAGGCACCTCTGCAAAGTGTGGTCCTAACTCTATGTATCCGAGTCTCCAAGTGTGAGCATATTGATGAAGTTGATAAATTGCATGCAGGTGTACCTGGAGGTAGCCAACTCCTCCTAATAAGGTGCAGGGACGCACTGGAGGCCCAGCAACCAAAAATGCACGCTGGGACTCCAGTGCGTCCCCCAAACCAAAAATAGTCAAACTAGAAAAAATGGTACATGCATGAATCTATAACCGGCCTTCATAGCAGGGCGCACATTGGGAAGGCTTACAACAATACAAAACACAAAAACTCCCCAGCCCCAACCTGCCAGCCACCTCTGATTTTAACGCATACTGTTGACAGGGCTACTTGTTTGGTTGCAGGCTGGCTGAGGCTGGGGAATTTTTGTGTTTTGTATTGGAGGGAGGTGAGGCACCTGCAGAGAGGGAGGTGAGACACCTGCACAGAGAGTGGTGAGACACCTGCAGAGAGAGAGGTGCAGCACCTGCAGAGAGAAAGGTGAGACACCTGCAGAGAGAGAGGTGAGACACCTGCAGAGAGAGAGGTGAGACACTACAGAGAGAGAGGTGAGACACCTGCAGAGAGAGAGGTGCAGCACCTGCAGAGAGAAAGGTGAGACACCTGCAGAGAGAGAGGTGAGACACCTGGGGAGAGAGAGAGAGGTGCGGAACCTGCAGAGAGGGAGGTGAGACACCTGCAGAGAGGGAGCTGAGACACCTTCAGAGAGGGAGGTGCGGAACCTGCAGAGAGAGAGGTGAGACACCTGCAGAGAGGGAGGTGAGACACCTGCAGAGAGAGAGGTGAGACACCTGCAGAGAGAGAGGTGAGACACCTGCAGAGAGAGAGAGGTGAGACACCTGCAGAGAGAGAGGTGAGACACCTGCAGAGAGGGAGGTGAGACAGCTGCAGAGAGAGAGGTGAGACACCTGCAGAGAGGGAGGTGAGACACATGCAGAGAGGGAGGTGAGACACCTGCAGAGAGGGAGGTGAGACACCTGCAGAGAGGGAGGTGAGACACCTGCAGAGAGAGAGGTGCGGAACCTGCAGAGAGAGAGGTGAGACACCTGCAGAGAGAGAGGTGAGACACCTGCAGAGAGAGACGTGAGACACCTGCAGAGAGGGAGGTGAGACACCTGCAGAGAGAGACGTGAGACACCTGCAGAGAGGGAGGTGCGGAACCTGCAGAGAGAGAGGTGAGACACCTGCAGAGAGAGAGGTGCGGAACCTGCAGAGAGAGAGGTGCGGAACCTGCAGAGAGAGAGGTGCGGCACCTGCAGAGAGGGAGGTGCGGCACCTGCAGAGAGGGAGGTGAGACACCTGGAGTGGGGGAGGTGAGACACATGGAGTGGGGGAGGTGAGACACCGTCTTTGGGGGAGGTGACACACCTGCAGTGAGGGAGATGAGATAACTGCAGTGGGGGAGGTGAGACACCTGGAGTGGGGGAGGTGAGACACCTGGAGTGGGGGAGGTGAGACACCGTCTTTGGGGGAGGTGACACACCTGCAGTGAGGGAGATGAGATAACTGCAGTGAATGAGATACTTGCAGTGGGGAAGGTGAAAAACCTGCAGTCGGGCAGGCGAGACACATGCAGAGAGGAAGGTGTGACACCTGGTGTGTGGACACTAAGGCACCTACAGGGAGGGAGTTGAGACATCCTAAATGTGAAACCAGACTCCTGGAGTGAGTGAGATCAGACATGTGGAGTGAGTGAGGCCAGACTCCTGGAGTGAGTGAGATCAGACATGTGGAGTGAGTGAGGCCAGACTCCTGGAGTGAGTGAGGCCAGACTCCTGGAGTGAGTGAGGCCAGACTCCTGGAGTGAGTGAGGCCAGACATGTGGAGTGAGTGAGGCCAGACTCCTGGAGTAAGTGAGGCCAGACTCCTAGAGTGAGTGAGGCCAGACTCCTAGAGTGAGTGAGGCCAGACTCCTGGAGTGAGTGAGGCCAGACTCCTTGAGTGAATGAGACCAGATTCCTGGAGTGAGTGAGATCAGACATGTGGAGTGAGACCAGACTCCTGGATCGAGTGAGACCAGACTCCTGGAGAAAGTGAGATAAGACACGTGGGGCAGGTGAGACCAGACACCTGTAATGAGTGAGACCAGACACCTGGAGCAAGTGAGATCGGACATGTGGAGTGAATAAGGCCAGACACCTGGAGCGAGTGAGATCAGACACTTGGGGTATAGGACTACGGGCACATGGAGTAAAGGGAAAACGGGTTTACTGTGAGCGGACATATGGAGTGAAGCCAGACACCTTAACTGCGGAAGGCCGGAAACGTCCGCCTATGGTTGGGATCTGGATAGCGGAGTAGAGCAGCTTGTCTTTAGTGGGCACAACCAGCATGTTGTTTCATGTGTGCCAGGAGCCTGATGTACAGGCCCTGTCATTCTCTGTACATTAATTAGCGGCGCACCATTGCCTGGCATGACAGAAGACATGGCAGCAGCTCAGTGTATAAGGGGAATTTGGCGCGTGGCCACCGTGTCTTAGTACTCACAATCAGACGACTCTGTGTGTGCACACGTGCTGATTGGTTGCTTGATGTCTGTATGTGTTGAGTGGATATGGCTGGGCACCGCAACAGGACAGTTACAAAGTTCTGGCAGAGGCGGCAAGGCTTGGCGCTGCTTTCTCTCGGCTGAGTAATCTCATTCTCCACAGACGCCTTCTGGTTTTCAGCTGTCCGGAGTCTCTTCCTGTGAACAGACAAAGGAGCCTTTGAGGGGAGCGGACTGGAGGTTTGGGGGGAAAACAAGGAATTTTTAGAATATGCTAATGATAACCTCCATCTATTCTGAGCGAGAGGCATCCATTGTGTACCAAGATCAGACAAAGGTCTCGCCACCAGCGACCCCGTACACCCTGGAAACCTCTGCGTGCTTGCCGCACGGAGCCCCCTGGTCACAGGCTCCCTCTATTAAAGAAAAAAAAAACAAAAAAAAACCCCCCTCTCCCCATTGTTCTCATAATTAGTCTTATTCCTAGGTGCTCTATTGTTCCACAAGACTGACACACAATGCTGTTAATTAGCTAATTGACATAAGGCAGAAGTGAAGTTTATTCATTGTGTGACATCTGAAGAATGTATGTAAAAAGAAAGGGGGCTGTTTCTGTTCTCCTCAGACATTAAAGAGCAGTTAGAATCTTCATAAAAGTGTTTTACATATATAATAAATCATCTGGAAAT